CTTCTTGTTCCTCCTCCTCCTCTCTCTCTCTCTCTCTCTCTCTCTCTCTCTTCTTCACTCACATCCCTCTCTATGGGTGTTGCAGCAAGCTTTCCCTTCATCCCACATATTGCTTTGCTGTAGCAAGCCTAATATGGTACCTCATCCCCCAAAGGGGTGTTGTCGAGTGCCGAAATCTAAATATAGAGAAGATAAAATCATGCTTCCCGGGGATCGGATCGGAACAAATTTAGACCACCCATGGATCGGACTCTCATCCAACACAAGAAATATTCCAAGGCTCGATTGGCATGTGCCCTTTTTCATCAGCTTATGTTGAAAGTCGTCGTCCATCTTGTTATATAGAAAGACATCAAAATATTTATCCCTTTTTTGTTGGTTGTTTGTGATGTTTGGTTCGCATAATTTAGGATTATAATCACATATCAGCCAATGTAGTTAATATTTGATACTTGAAATAGCACCACAGCTGAAGATACAGCTTTCTTTCTCAAACATAGATTACAATTATTTCCTTCTTTTTCGGAAGGGGAAGAGTTGGGTTGATGACCAATGTTGTCATTGATATGAATAGCTTCTTTAGTCATGAGTTTATCTTGGCTCATTCCAGCTTAATTCATCCAGTGCAGGAATTGGCTTTGTAATTAAGAAGGGAAATGGAGATATCATGATGCTTGGAGGAAGGCCATGTCGAGCTACCAGTCCGATAGAAGCTAAATGTTTAGCATTTTTAGAGGGTTTGCAGAAGATGGCTAAGCTCAACCACTGAAGAGTGCAGCTGTGCACAGATGCACAGCTAACTATCAAGTTTCTGAAGGATGACAGCTTAATTCCTTAGCAACTTCAGGCTGTTACATCTAACATTAAACCTCTTTTTGATATTGTGTTTGTCAACAACATTTCATACGTGCTTCGTGAGGCCAATATTGTAGCACATAGAGTTGCTAATTTTTATAGAGCTGAGGGCTCACCAAGTTTGCAATGCAGCTGATGATGTAGCTGCTCAGTTTTTTAATACATACAAGTTACTTTTTCCTTTTAAAAAAAATCATTTTCCAACTCATTATTGCCTTCTATACACTCTAAATTGAGGGGCTACTTTTGTTAAAAATCATAGGTTAAAATTATTTTTAAATAAATAAATAATTTGATAGCAGATAAGATTTTTCTTAACTGCACGAGGAAATCTCGTTGATAAATTTTTCTTAGCAGATAAGATTTTACTGATAGATTTTTCTAACTGTACGAGAAAATTCTATTTTCTAACATGTATAAATAGATATTACATTCAACAACTAATTCAAGTGTGATTTTGTCGTTAGATTTCACCTTATCATAATTTTCAATCGAATAGATATGTCATTTTGATTGAACAAAGATAACCTTTTACCCAAATAAATATGATATTTCATCCGAATAGACTGTTCTTTCACTCAACTGGACATGAATTTTAACCCTAAGGGGTTTCTCTAACATCTATAAATAGACCTCATCTCGATCATTAATTTCATGGAAAAATTAAATTTTATTCTTGCATTCATCTGACAGAGATCAAAGAGAGAGTATAAAAAATAAAAAATTATTCTCCTTGTAATTTGGAGAGCTACTATTATAGGAAGTGATCATTGTATCCTGGAAGATGATTGCTGCTAAACCATGAGCACCGCTCGGCAAAATACTTTGAATCTAATATAGTTTTCCTTTCAGGTTAATCCTCTCTTTCAATCAAATTATTTTGAACAGAATAAAAACTAATTTATTCCAAAACTTTTTCAAACTCTTCGTAGAAGTTCCTTTTGTAATCTGTACAAGAAGTCATTTTTGTAAGCGTACCATTTGGCTGCAATTTCCAACTGAAATGGAAAACGAATGCTGAAATCACATTGTAGATTGAGAAGGCATGATTGATGTCTTCCCTCTTCCAAGACAAAAACCAACACTTGTTTGGCGTTCTATTTGAACTGGAACGCGTGGGAGAAGAATTCAAGCACGGTGAACTGTTGGTTCCTGTTAGCCCAAAAATTATGGGAAACATGAGCCAAAAAAAGAAGAATTGGTTTCTCTTTTCCTACTCGGGAAAAAGGTAGGCATACAAAAGTTGATTCCACACATCAGGAACTCCTGGGAGGCACCAATGGATGCAGTCAGCATAGCTGCCGGGGTTATCCTGCTGCTCTTTGGTCAGTGGCTCCCACTGCTTCCTGTAGATTGACGGGTGGCCGTCTTTTCTATATTCTGAGAGCTGCGTGATGTTGAGCATTTGTACATTCACACCCCTGCCTCTCAGACTCTTGATTACCTTCTCAACTACCCGCATCATGTTTTCATTTGTGTCTTTGCCCCGGTATCCCTCCTCCGCGATCGGCTCTGTCTCATGGTAGCAGTTTTGGCCACTAGGCCTGCCCCACTCTTCGCCACTGCCATGAGAATCGAATTGCCGACAGTCTTTAATGTACACCAACAACTTATTCTAGATTTGCTAGGATCAAAAAACAAACAAATCCAAGGACTGGAGACACCAGGAATGTCTCGAAGAACTCGTGAGTTGAAATGTTGTCTCCTTTCTCAATTACCTCGAGTGCGTAGGCGACATGCTCATGAAGAACAGCTTCGTCTTGAGATGGTCCACATGGAATTCAAGCCAATCAGACCATGTGTTCAGTGCTAGCTCGTAGCCACGGAGGCTGTCGATCTCCTTGTGGATACCATGTTCGTCCTCGAATGATCCCCACCTGACGCATCGACATGATCATTTTCTTCTTTCATCTAGAACAAGAATATGATTTCTTTTGGTACTAATTAACATGAATGTTACAACTCAAATAATATATTCATTCATATACTCCAAAGTTGAGATTATGAACTCTCTTAAAAGATACATGAAAGACAGCATGAATGGTGCGAAAGGTCCACATAGCAGAATAGTTAAGACTTACAAGATGTTCATCGTTGGTCGCCTCCACCAGAGATAAGTGTTGAAGACCAGTACATCAGCATTTGTCCAGTGTCTTGCGTGCTTCTCGATGGATTGCGCCCTCGCAACCCTGTCTGGTATTCGGTGGTGTACAGGATCATCCGAATTGGATTCGACCAACAATGGCGCCCAGTAGAAGTCAATCGATGCATTATGTTCCTGCCGTGGCACATTGTTTCTGTTGCTTACTTAACAGTGGAACTTTGAGACCACAATCTATGCGATGAAAATGCAATGAACAACTGCGCCGCCCGGACGACCGTGCATGGTGAAACAAGATGGTGTCTAAAAGAGGGAAACAGATAAAAAGAAAGAAAAAGCTTAAGTCACCTTGGCTTTGAAGGACATGAGGGATCCATTGGATACCATGATCTTGTGGGAATCAGGAAGGGAGGCACCCAGCAGGCAGACCATGGAAATCCATTGGTTTCTGTTGAGGGAGTCACCAACAAACACCAGCCGCCTGTCCCTTAGCCTCTCCAGCAGTTTTGTGACATTGAACCTGCTTATTTCACATCCAAATTTCCCGAGGGCTCCTTAAGATTAACATTAGTGCAATTTTTCTCTAACGAAGGGACAGTTTACAGATGGTGGGTTTCATGATTCACAAGGTTAACTATCAAGATATTGGTGTCATGATAAGAATACAATTTTGTGAAGATCTATGAATGCATCATGTTATAATTGCTTAAAGAAGCTTTGTTTCTAATGTTCAACTATGAAACCTTCCATGGCTTACCTTGGTAGGTTGCATCCATGAGGCTGCCACCTCCAGTTCTGATACTTGAGATCTCTTCTTCCGAACTTCTCACAGGCAGACTGATCCGACATGAATTTGCACCCACTCTCCGAGTACAAGGGATACGTCGTGTTGTCATATACCCATTGGCCTGAGAACAAGTCGCAAGTCCCGGCCGACGACTCCTTGGCTTCCATGGCAAGGATCTCAGCCTGGTCTCCGTTCCTCATCGTGATGAAGATGGTGAGGACGATGATGAGTGCAGTGGACATGGTTAAGATGGAGTTGAAGCGATTCTTGAGGCCCCATAGCCTCAGGGTAAACTGGCTCTTAGTTGCCATCTCCACCTTCCGTCCTTCCTCCCTCGGGAGCATCACCACCTTCTTCTTTTGTAAGTGAGGATTTAAGCTGGTCTTCGTGGCCTTCAGGTTCATGATCAGAATCATGCATGCCTTTGTGAATGAGTATGGGCCATGGAAGGTGTTGTATATAACCCTGAACCGAGTTGTTGAAATGGGTCATCAGCTGTGGGACAACCCACCTAATGTTCACTACGCTCCGTCGTTTCTGGACGGAGTGGATAACTCGTTCTACGTAGAGCTAACAGGAGCAGAATGCCTGGCTGAAACAGCTTGGTGTACGCCTAAGCCAAGCAATCATAAGTGAGTCCTGACATTGTTTCTGGAAGCAGCAACCATCGGTGGAGTTGGAGTTTCCTGGCCCTCCTCCCCACCCACGCCATAAAAATGACTCGTAGACTACGAGCTACCAACTGCTAAATAGATGGAAAAGATTGCCACCTTCTTTGAATCATGGAATCGGCGACATTGGAGTCGGAACACCATGATGAGGACCTGTACTTGTTGAAGGGTCGTAGGTAAGGATTACCTTTGCCGCACCTAACCAGTTAGGTTGGAATCTAAAAGCAGCACCTAATCAGATAGCTTGGGAGCTAAATTAAAACAAGTTCGACCATTCCGTCCAGAATGATCGACCTAAAAGTACATTCTTATACTTTCTAAAAGGTAGGCTAGAAACAGAGGAAAAAGGTGAGGGCAGTTGCTCTCGCTCTGAGACATGCCGATAAGTTCTACATCTGTTGGTAAGTCTTAACGACGAAATCACCATTCTTGTTTGACTTGTGGGTGTGTTGATAAATCTATATAATATAGTGTATGGCAACAATGGTCGCAATCTTTTTTCCCAAATGCACATTTGACTGTCATTTCATACGTAAAACAGAAGCCTCAGGGCAAGCAAGAAAACAACTTCAAGAGTAGGTGGAAGGTGGCGTAGTCGTTCCATCTCCGACATTGTTAGTGTCATCTTCGCAAGCAACATAGAGACATCAAAATAGATGTCTCAGAGCCTTTTAACTTCAAGGTGAATCAATAACATGCCGTAGGATACCCATAACTCCTTTTTCTTTTTGCCCGGCCAAAATACACATAAGTCAACTTTATATATATATATATATATATAAGAATATTTTTCTTTAGCTCTAAGTTGAGAGGATATCAATCACTTAGCACAATAGTTCCAACGATCAATCCCATTAATAATTTTGTGTTTCCAAACCCTAATCCTAGTATTAATCTCTAAGCGCTTTCAATTGGCATCAAAAGAACTTACCCCACTCGCATTTTGTTATTCCACAAAGCGCATCCTAGTTTAGCTGGCAAGTCGCTTTTGAAAGAAAGAGCTAATTCTCCTCAACAGTCTTATAAAAGAAGAGGACTGTATTCGGTACCATTGGTAAGGTAATAAAAGCAGCCAAGCAATTGCATTCTCTCTTTTGGTATACGAATAGTAAATGCATCACTTTCGTCTTAACTTGCGATGCCTTTTTTAGTATTTAATACATGTACGATGAAGCATCTTTCAACCTGGCATAGCATAGAAGCTTTTCAGTGGCTTTCATATCTTGAGTCTCGAAACCACATGGAAGGAGGCCCAATCTACAATTGGAACATCTGAAGTTATATTATGGGTTGATTTCAAGCTTCAGACACAATCTTTTCTTCCTTGGGCGACCCTGACACACAACATTTCAAGTTCTTTTCTACTGAAATGGTGTGTTGGATTTGGTTATTCAAGCCCAGATGGTGAACTAAATCTTGATCTCATAGACACAGGTCACTACTGTCTGTATCAAGTGTTGCCATCCACCATCTTAAAACCTCATCTTTCCAATTCTCCTATCTAGTCAAGGCTTATAACTGTCCTATTTTCCCCTCCTTGCTAGCTAACAAATTATACACTTGTTGGGGTCTCGATCGATAAATTATAAAGTTTATAGTAGGTGCATTTTTATTCCAGTCCTACCCCATCTCTAACAAAGGTTACTATTGTTAAGATTAATTGTTTGTCTTTCTAACATATATATTTACACTTCTATCGAGATTTACACTTTGTGTCCACATCTATTATCTTGTACATAGGTATGAGTAATTAATCTAATTGCTTAGAACTAAAGAATGAAGCCTACTCTTATTCCATTTACGTTCTTAGGAATCTAAGATCTAGATCTTTGCTACTTGCAATCTAGGATTGAAACCATATTGAAGTTAGATACGGGCGTGATACTTTCTAAGCTAGTAATTTCAATGATCTATTTTCTTCTAATTTCTCATTATATCTTTTATATTTTCTTGTCTTCTTACCCATAACCCTTGGAACAACACTTCAAAGAATACTACAACATTATTAACAATCTTAACTCAAGCTACGACAATGATAGCTTTGAATTTTGGCTTTGGCGATCCTTCTCCCCTTAGTCCCTCCCACCTAATGCTCCCTCTTGTAAATGTTCCTTCCTTTTTTGATGGCACTCACCCTATCTCTAATATTTTCTACTTATCCTCTTTTGCTTAGACTAGAGGCGATTCCTCTATATCCTCATATGGTGACCCTAGTAAGAGAGGTGATTCCTCTGAATCATTCTCTTTAAGCACAAAGAGTATCCCCGATAGTGTTGGCACTTCCTAGCCTCCTTTGGTTATCGTAAAGAGCCAAACAGGAAGGTTTGCCCTGATATCCTAGGAAAGCCTATTTTGCGAGACGAATGAGGTGTGTGATTAGATAGATGCCCCTCCATTAGCGTCCAAACTTCTCAAGATCTAAGGGCAAATGATAAGAGTGATCGATCTTGGTATTGATGTGATCAATGCCTCTAAAGATGAATGGAGGATGAGCCTTTACAATAAATTCTTTGGGCATATTCCTCCTCTAGAACTAATTAAAGGTATCCTTCCACACCTATAGTGTCTTGAGTTAGGATGCTATATCAACCTTACAGTAGGATTTTTTTATTTCTAATTTTTCTTGAAATTTGACTTATCCAATATTCTATTGGGTGGCCCCTAGTTTGTCTATGGGCAAGCCAATTTCCTCATCCCTTGGATGCCTTTCTATCAGCCCCTTATAGAAACAAATGAAATAATTTTCACATGGATTCAATTTTTAGGGCTACCTATATAATTGCTTCAATCTAATGTACTAAATCTAATTGTTTTGAGAGTAAGAAAGCCCCTCAAATTAGACCAAATCATACTAACTAGGACTAGAGGTAAGTTTGTTAAAGTGTATGTTCTTCTAGATATCTCCAAACCTCTTTACCTTAGGAGATTTCAATCAAAGCTGGAAACTATAAGCTCTTCCAATTAATTACTTTTGAGAATATTCCAAACCTCTTTACCTTAGGAGATTTCAATCAAAGCTGGAAACTATAAGCTCTTCCAATTAATTACTTTTGAGAATATTCCAAACCTCTATTTCAAATACAATAGATTAAGTCATAAAACTAGTGAACGTAGGGTTTCTCGTTTTGAGGGGATATTGGCATCTAAGGTTGACCATGTGACCGGTTCCATTGAGAAAACTCACGAGGTTAAAAATAAGTTGTAGAGTAAGCAACACCAATTAGTCTCCTAAAAGTAAATCGTCAATCTTAACCCATCATGGCTCATGCTTAGGTGAGACCTTTATTTTATTGCAATTGATACTATTTCAATCAATCTAAGTACTTGTGATGAAAATAGTGCCAAGTATGACAACAAACAAATCTATACCTAACAAATTAGGATTAGCAAAGTGCTCGAGAGTAATTAGTGCACTCAGTTTTCATTTTGTTCACTCCCAAGCCTATAGTACACTCCAACAACAATGGTTTGAGAAATCATGGCTATTAAGGGCATAGAAGGGTATAAAGGAGCCGCCATATGTTTTCAATTTATCCTCCTTTGAGGCACCTTGGAGGCATCAAATAATGCCCTTGCTCGCATCACTTGGGTTGAGAAGCTTCCTGAGGAAGTCATCTAATGAGAGACCTTCCCTTTCTAATTTTGCTTCGATAGAGATCTCGAACCCTTTTACAACACTCGGTGGGGAAGAGCATTCCTTGCTGATAGATCAAAACACATGGAGTCCATATGACTTCAAGTACTTGGCCAAGACTATAGTGCTTAAATTAATCAGGCTAGATGCTTTAGGTGAAAATACATCATTTGATAAATTAGTTGATAAACTTAATTATACTTTTTATCATGTAGTGATTGAGGACAATATAAAATAAAATAATGAGCTCTTAGAGGATCTAGAGGCTCCTTCTATAGCCATTAGGTCATCTAGATGCAAATGTAGACATAGAGTCTCTTACTTTGCTTTCAACACTACAAGTGTAAGAATAATGGCATAAAACAAGTTCTCTAGAGGACATAGGGGGTGAGAGGGATCCTAACCATAAAGGGTTTGAGGAGTTCTAAATCATATTTTTGTAAATGAACTATCTTATATGGAATTATAAAGGTGCTTTTAAAATAGAATGTAAGGAAACCTTATCTAGTTTAATTAAATCACATAACATTAATCTTTTTGTTCTATTTGAAACTCGAGTGATCAGAGAGAAGTTGTGATGGAGGTTGGAAAAGAATTTACAAGGAGACTTTGAGTTATCCTCGGGGTGCTCTAAAGGGATTTTGGTGATGTGGAAGAATCAGACGTTGTGAGTGGCCTTGATCTATAAGACTCTTTAAAAACTTAATTTATTAGTTGAAACGTAAGGTAAACTAATTTAGCTCTTATCTACTATTTATGATAGTAATTTTTCTAATTATAAAAGTAATTTATGACATCTTTATTCTAAGATGGATTTATCAAAGATTTCATGGCTTTTATGTAGTGATATGAATTCTTTGTCTCTTCTGCTAAGGATAAAATAAGTGGTCAACCATTTTCTTTTACTCCTACTTAGAACTTTTAGGATTTTATCTTCAATAATAGTCTTATTTATCTTAGTTTCCTTAGTAATAGATTCATGCGATGCGATACAATAGGATTAGGTCTAATAGAATTACTACTAAACTTGATTATATTTTTGTGAATAAACAATGGTTCTCTATTTATGATTGCTTAGTGATTAAGCACCTCCCAGCTTTTGATCATTCCTATATTTTCATTAGTTTAGG